TAATGAAAAAAATGGAGGAAGAAAACCTCCAACTATCGGTTTTAGGAACAGGGAAAGTGTAATTTTTTGTTTTTGATGGCATTAATTCATTACACCAGTCATTGGCCAAATATTTTTTTATCATACTACAGTTTTATTAAGTTGCCAGCCTAATAAAAATAATTATCATTAATTATTATGTGCATACATTATTGAAAATATTCACGGTTTTAATAAAGTATGAAAAATATCGGCAAAAAATTATTATTTGTCAGTGTCAATTGGAGGAACATCTTCATCAGAATGCAACGATGGCTGGAAGTGAACAACTGCACAAACAAAAAATGACAATCATGTAATACGCTTGCCTTAGTAAGCTTTAACTCACCTCCCTTGCCCATTTCCTTTAGACCAATACTCCTCTCATCAGTTCTTATCCTCTCATCAGCAACCTCTTCATCCTCTGGATCTATTAAAGTAATTTTCTCTTCATCTTCATCATCTTCAAAGTCTTCAGCTTTGATTGTTAGTGCTCTGAAGGAACGGTAACGACGATGTCTTCGAGCCCTAAAAATAATTTTCTCATTATTGAGCATTATAGCTGATAGCTATTATACAGACTTACAAATGAAATGCTTACTTTACAATTAAATATGCTACAGCAAGGATGATGATGATTATAATTAAAATAATAACACCAACTCCTACTAAACTTCCTATTAGGGTCTTTTTATCTTTAAAAATTGATAACCATAAAATTTTAAAAAATATTATATATTTTTTCATATTACTTCCAGAAGAATGTGCTGCAATAGATGGTCCAGGATAAAAACTAGATGAGTTTGCTACAAGAATTGATGAGGTTGTAGATAGTTTTATTGTAGCTGATGTGCTCTTAACTGAAGACTGCAAAGTACCTAATAATGGATTAAATTAATTTAATTTGAAAGAATGATGAATGAAGAATACTTGATGAATTTGATGGCATACAGGAAGGCAGTGTGCTGTTCCAGTGACCTATAGAATCATTATATTAAAAGTATTCTTTCTCCCTTCTCTCTCTCATCTTTTCTTCTTTCCCGGGCCCCCTTTCCTCTTTCACTCCTTTTTCAATCCTCACCAGTTTCATCGCACAAGATAGCTCTATTTCCACTAAAACCAAAGCCAGCCACACAACTGAATGTAATAACACTACCAGGTGTGTAAGCAGGAGTGTTCTCAATAACAAGATGAGGAACAAGAGGAAGATTAGGACAAATAACTACAATAATAATAATAATAATAATAATAATAATAATAATAATAATAATAATAATAATAAAGTTAGTCCACTTGGCATTCACATGCAACCATTGTACTTATGATGAATGCACTATGCATTCATCATACATGTAAGCACATATTGCACATGAATGCCAAGTGTAGCAGCATTGCTTAGTATAATAC